TGTACGTGTATGTGTCATGCCTCCTCGTGCTACTTTTAGAGGACCGTGGTGGACGATCAATAGTCGGATCGATAGCTTACGTTGCCGTTACTTAGACCGCCAAAATTCTGGACCGCAGCGATTAGCTGGTGGGGGTGATTGTGCGCTACGCCAGGGCCACCATTTTTCTGGGAGCTTTTCTGGGAGTCGTTTCTAAGGTTTGAAATCCACGTGCATTCAGAAAAAGCATTTCTATGGGCGAGAGAAAACCTTACTTGCCTTTCTCCTGGCTTTAATGTGGATGGTCGCCTAGGCGTGCGGGGCCGGATGTGCGGGCCAAAGAACTCCCGACCTCGTGGGCACCTGGGCAGGTGTTCTGTCAAGGATATTCAACGCTGAATGGCGTGTGAAGACACGAGGTGCGTGCTGACATTCCAGGAGAAGCCACCAAGCTCACCTGGAAATGTTCGCAGCGCTCGCACATGCACGTTTGGAAGGTCTGGAAATAGGGGAGAGTTTCAACCGCCGGAAGCCACGCGCATCTAGGATCCATGTTCTGTATGTACGTCGCCAAAAACAGTTTCACATGCGCCGATGGCTTGTTGTGATCCCACCATGCGGTCGGCGGTGTGGTCGTATGGGAATTTCAGGCTGCGGCAGGCGAGACAGAAGAGCAATAGATGGGCGAACAAACGCAATTAATGTTTGGAAGGCACCTGAGGCGGCTATTGTGCTGCCCGCGCTTGATTGGCGTGCGCTCTGGGAAGCACCTGCGTCTGGTCGTGCTCAACCGGCTGCTTCTCTGACCCAAGGTACCGTTCTTCGAAGCCTGCGGCCGGACCATATGTGCAGTGGGGTGGCGCGTTGGATATGGCATCGAGGACCGGTCATTCGAGCTGCCATGGTCCATCGCTGGACGCAACTTCGCGCCACCGCGTTCACAGGATGGCTATGATAGTCCGCCTGTGTGCGCCCCGCGAGCGAGCGGGGCGGCGGACCGCCCAGTGGAGCGTTTCGCCTGTCTTTCGGGGTGGACGCGGGGGCGCGTGAGTGGCAACCAACGGAGGGGCGAAGTGGACGATGCGGCGGGCAGGGCGCAGCTGGCGAGAGTGACGTCGGACGAGATCCGTGGGGAGGTTCGCGCGGGGACACATCGACGTGAGCTCATCGTCGGACCGCCGGAGGAGGAGGGCGGGACACACAGCCACGCACGGGAAGAAGATCTGTCACGATCACGCGACGGGCGGCGTGGTGTGGACGGCGACGCTCCCTCGTCTTCCCCTCGGCGATTCGCGCACGCGCCCCAGCGCCGGGCCCCGCGACCAATCCTGCGTCCTGCGCGGTGCGTCTCGCCCCCCGTTTGAATGCCGGATAAAGGGTACTCATCACCGGATACCCCGCCTGCGCTCGTCCTTTGTGGGCGCACCCTGCTCCGCCGCGACGCTCGTCGGCGTCGCGGCATGCTGATGACGGCGTGCACGAACGGTGCGGACGCGCGCCCTTCTCAGCTGCCTTCGCCGTCCTTCGCAGCACCTTTCTCGCGACCGTCTTCGGGGCGAGCGTTGATCTCGGCAGCGTGCACCCTGGGATCGCTGGAGTACGCGAAGCAAGATATAGAGACCTTCCTCCCCAGCCGCTATCCACGTCCCTCCCCGCCTACTGCCTCTCCTCCTCAAACGCCCTTTCCGCCGCGGCCCCCTTTGCGCCTCGCCCCCGCAGCGTCCCAAACGACACGTTCTCCCGCACCGCCCTGTCCGCACTAGTCTTCCACCTCTGACTTTGACGAGATCTTGGTGATCCTCCAGATCCTCGGTTGCCGAGCTTCAATCCCCCCTCTCTCGACCCTGGACCCAAACTCAGCGGCCAGATACCGATCAGCCGACATCTACCCATGGATCCTATGGAGTCCGCACCCATACACGCGTTAGCGCCCACGCTCATCACCGCCGACATGGAGAAACTCTCCCCTCACGACAAAGGTGGCATACAGCTGCTCGAGCTTCCCACATCCTCCGTCTCACCCTCGATAACTCGGGAGGACGACGGGGAGGACGCGCCGGCGGAGGATGAGGAGGGGCGGAAAGAGCACGGAGCGCAGCGGGCGCTCAAGGCCCCCGCGGCGTACGAGGACTCGTTCCCGGACGGCGGCCAGGGCTGGGTCGTCGTCTGCGGCTGCGCTCTCTTCTGTGCGGCGACCGTGGGCTGGGGGTGCGTATGTCTTCCCCGCGCCGTCTCCTTCCCTGTCTCGCTCGGAGCTGACCGGGCCTGCCTCGCGCGACGGCGCATACAGTCTGGTGAGTGCTTTCGGGCCACCGTGCACGCATTTCCCCCGGAGCACTCACTTCCTTCTTCTTGCCGCCCGCGCGCAGGTCTGGGGCGTCACGGAAGAGTTCTTCAAGTCGACGATGTTCCCCGGCACGCCTGATTCGGTGCTGACGACGCTGGGGAGCCTCCCCCCGCTGGTGCGCGTCCCCTCTCCCGCCTGCTCCGCCGCTTGAGGCTCACGCGCGGACCGCGGCCTGGGCAGATCATGACCTTGGGGAGCATCGTGGCCGGAAAGCTGGCAGACCGATAGTGCGTACCTCGAACTCCCGCCCGTGTCCTTCTCCAGGCGCTGAACGGCCGCACAGCGGGTACAAGGTATGCTTCCCGTCTGCTTTTGCCCACGGACCGCGCTCGGGGCCTCACCGCGCGCTTGCGTCCAGCCCTTCCTCGCGGCGGGCGCGGTCATCTGGGTCGCGAGCATGGTCGCGAGCGCGTTCTGCACCGAGGTGTGGCAGTTCTTCATCACCATGGTCGGTCTTCGCCTCAGGCTGTTTTCATCGTACGGAATGGTGTTGACGGTTTCTGGCAGGGCGTCATGCAGGGGATCGCGGACGCGCTCATCTTCCCGCTCATCGTGAATATTCCGTGCCGTGTATTTTCGCGCCTTCCGCTCACGGCTGTCGTAATAAGGTCGCGTTGCCCACGCAATGGTTCCTTCGCCACCGCGCCCTCGCCATAGGCATCGTGGTTTCCGGTAGCTCAGTCGGTACGCGGTCGTCCTGTAACAACTCTGCGTCCACACGCTGACTCACATGCGTACCCCCTTCTCTAGGCGGCGCCGTTGCTTCCATCGTCTACCGCCTCCTCATATCCTCGCTCGGGCTGCGCAAGGCGCTCGCCATCTTCACCGGCATCCACACCGCGATGTTCGCCGCGGGCTACTTCATGATGACCGAGCGCCGCCCCGCGCACAAGAGGCCGGCAATCGTCTGGTTCGACCGCGCGTTCTTCAGCGACCCGGTCTTCTGGAGCCTCGCGCTCTGCTTCTTCTTCACCGTCTTGTGAGTCCATCCGCTCAGGGGCGTGCGCGCGCGGCGGTCGCGCGGCCTTGCCTGTGCGGCACGGCGCTGCCACCCCTCTTACGGATCTGGTGTGCTAACGGCGAGTTTGCTCGTTCGCGCGTAGTGGCTACTTTGGCCCGATCTTCCTCCTGCCCACCTTCACGGCCCAGGTGGCGCCCAACCTCCCGGAGCTGGTCAGTCTTCGATCTCGCCCCGCGAGAACGGCTCGCGCGCTGAACAGACGCCCCCACAGCTCACCGCGCTCCCGCTCACCGTGCTCAACATCTCCGCCGCGCTCGGCCGCATCCTCGTGGGCTTCGCCGCGGACCGCCTCGGGCCCGTGAACGCGCTGTTCGTCGCGATCACCGCCTCGGGCCTCACCCAGTTGCTCGTGTGGATGTTCATCACCTCGTACGGCGGCACGGTGCGTTCCCCGCTCCCGCACGCACGATGCACGTCTTCTGCCGGTGGCTGACCGCGCGCGCAGATGGCGTTCGCCGTCCTCTACGGCTTCTTCTGCGGCTGCTTCCTCTCGCTCATCTCCGCCGTCGCCGCCAAGGTCTACGGCGTCGCGCAGCTCGCGGGCCTCTCCGGGCTCCTCCTCCTCTTCAACGCTCCCGGTGCGTCTTCTCCGTGCCATGCGCCGCGCGCGCGTCCCCTCTCTCTCTCGCGCCAAGTGCTAACGGTTTGACCTCGGGGCGCAGGGAACGCGGCGGGCGCGCCGATAGGCGGCGCGCTGCTGGGCGCGACGGGCAACAACTGGCAGGTCGTGGCCGCGTACTCGGGCGCGGTGCAGGTCCTGGGCGCGTTGTGCCTGCTCTACGGTGCGTCTCCCGTCGTCGATGCGGCCGGGCGAAGAAGCTCACTGAGGGTTCGGCTCTTCCAGCGCGGTTCAAACGAGAGCCGCGGCTCATGGCGGCGTACTAGGCTGTTGCTGTCGGCTTCCCTCCTCCCTGCTGCGCTTCGCGTTCTTCGCGCCATTCCCGTTCCGGTTTCGACATAGACGGTATCGACCTGCCCCAGCGGACACCGAGCCTGTATATTGTATATACTGTATCACCTACCCTTCGCTCTGCCATCGTCTACGGACAGCTTACGTACGCTGCTTGCTTTGCTATCGCTGCTGCTGAATAGAAGAATCAACCCCATGCTTGCGTGATAAACCTTGTTGCGTCGAGCTGGAGCTCGAGATAGCCCCTCGAAGGAAGGTCACCTGAGGACGCGCGAATGATCGCGAGATGCGGACGGTGCGGGGACGATTGAGCGTGCAAGAGGATTCGATTGCTATTGCAACCAGTGTATGACATCAGGTCCGAGAATACGTGTGCTACTCTGCTGTCTACGCTGTGCGCCCCCGCAGTACTTCTACAAGATACCCAGAGACGTTCGATTTTAGCGCACGTTGGCTTCCCCGCTGCAGCGCGAGGCCGCGGCGGGTACTGGTCCCGAGGGCCACGAAGAGGCCTGCGCTGGGACGGCTCGCGCGAGAGCCGCCCGTACCTCGGGGTCCCCCACACGTCGACCTCTTCATCAGCCCTTGTGCGTAACGCGTATCTGGGCGAAGCGATGTCAGCACGAGAGAAGCGAAAATGAACGCGCACTGGCTATGTTCCACTCGTCCTGTGGCAAGGCATGTCATATGTCAAGAGGGTTGGCACTGGGAGGGGCGGGGCTACGACGCGTAGCAGAGGAGGCTTAGCGGGCACGCTGTAGGTTGATAACAATCAGCCGATCACGCGAAACGTCCAGACTCACAGGCATTGGCTGTGAGTAGGGGGGGAGGGGCAAATAAACGAACAAGCGATTAGTATGGCAGGGCGGACGATGGCGTGACTTACCGAGACCACGTCGTCCTCTTCACCATCCAGCAGCGGGCGTAACGGTTTCTCTGCGCGAAGCGGCATCAGCGTGAGAGGAATAAATGAGAAACGCACCGGTGATGTCAGCATGCCCTTGATATATCCCTGCTTGCTGCGACACGTCTACACTATAGAGGTAAGCTTGAGAGACATCGAATAAACACTCACCGGAAACAATCGCGGACAGCTTTCGTGAAGCGTCCTACTAGCCCCTGATTCACAGAAGTCAACGCATTGAAACGCAGCGAAAACGTACCTTGAGCGACTTGCGCATCTCGCAGAAACCTTTGTGGGCCTCGTGTGCTAAAGACAGCATCAGCACTGACAATGATCAAGAAATGACGCACATCGGGGGCCCCCAGCGACTTGCAACGGCTCACACGTTCGTAAGTCGAGATGAAGAGCATTGTAGGGAGGTGGAAACGCAAACTACCGGGCAAGCGATCAACGCGGCGGTCACTAGTATGGAAAGACTTGCCAGGGATCCTCCGCAAGTTCATGTTCCCGTGACATCTGGGGCGTGGCGACATTAGTAGCGACGAGGACGGGAGACGTACCAATGGCCTCGAGCGACTTCTCGTTCTGAGAATATCTGGTCGCCTGTGGAGCGAAAAACACATCAACCACACGAGACAAGGAGCAAGCTTACCTGTTTAGCACCTTGATTGTGAGGCGATGGCGATGCTGAAAAGCTTCGAACCTTGAGTGCACCTTCATCCTCGCAACAGAAGAGGTCAGCTTGAGAGATGTGAGATGAACACTTACTCCGGGCACTTTGTGCGGTGCGGTCTTCAGGGAGTGACATCTGACCACCACGATTCAGCTGTGGGAAGCGCGGCGGTGACGCACCTTCGACGGCGTATCATGTCGCGGCGAAATACTATTGAGGCCATCCGATGCTACGTACAGAAAGAGTCAGCACACACCACCGTGAACTGACCACATACAGGGGTTCCAATCGGAGACACGCCGCCAACCAATGAGCTCAGTGACACTCGAATATAGAACTCACAAGATGACGGGAAGATTTGAGGGTTCGACGGAAACCTGACCACCCTGTGTAACAATCAGCAGGGCAGTGAAGAGGGAAAGACTCACCGTCCGCTTCACAGTCACTTGACGCAGAAGCACGTCAGCACTCTACTGAGATAAGAAAAAACATAGCTCTGGACGGGAGGATCCTAAAATACTGTAAGCACACACAGCACAGACTGGTGGATGTACGACTCACCGAGGGTCTTGAACCAGTCGCAGAAGAGCCTGATCTCAGCCGACGGGATTGAAGACACATTAGCCACGCGAGGTGAGGAGCGGCGGACGTACCGGTCGTGGCTGTCAGTGTGACATCCAGATGGGGAGGCTTTGCAACGTGGGATAAAGGGTGAGGGGCCGGCGACGCACCGTGGACACAGTGATTGATTGTGGTTTGGCGTGCTGCGTAACACGATGAGCAAGGAATGACATGAACGCGAGAAGAGTACGCACTTTTCTGGGATGAGCATGATCTGGATGCAGTGCTCGAGGAAGAACAAGGTGAGCGTGGTTAGGGCCGTGGTAGACGTACGAAGTGGTCGGCGCGGGGAACGTCACTGGCAGGCTACTTTCACAGGACGTGTACTACGGCGTGCGTATCTTAGCGTATTGAATGTGCGAGGAGCACGCGACATGGTTGATCAGGACAAGAGTGGTCAGTGGCAAGGTGGTCAGCTTGAGGAGCAGCAACGCCATCACGTCTGTGGGAGGGGTCTACAGCGAATGCAGGAATTCAATACAACTCATACCAAACAGGGTGGTCAGCCTTGAAACAATTGCGTGTGGGTGGGGTGTTGAGGCTGGGGCGACGAGATGGTTGGCTCGAGGAACCGAGAACACGGAACGTAGCGGGTGGGTGAATGCAAATGTATAACATCTTCTATACAGCGTTGAAGTATCTCCTGACCAAGAGAGCAACCAGGGAAGGAGAGAGGGAGGGGCAGATGGTGGTAAGGAGGAAGGGAGGGCGGAGAGGCGAAAGCGGCATTTATGGCAGGGCGTCTCGAGATCTGTTCGGATTTGCCGAGCTGGTTAGAACTGTGCACGTGCACTCAGGACCAACGCTTTCCATTGTCCTCCTCAGATTCCAAACACGGCAAAGAGACGGCCATCAAACGCGTGTTCTCCTGCAGGCCAGCGGCGAGCACTGAAGTTGTCATGGACCGCCGCACGCCAGTGCTTCGACCAGCGAGTCCGTGAGGGTCCATGAGTCACCGCACAATGGGGCCTGGACTCGTAGAGACACAGGTTGTCAGCTGCAGACCGATGACTGAGCGGACAACATGTGGACTCACTCATTTACTTGAATGCTCATTGCTGAAGCACTGCCGAGCATTTCCTTTGTGCAAGACTAGTCATACCAGAGCAACAGACGCGAAGCCCACAGATCCAGCGCCCTGGATGGCAACATATCAGCGGTAAGTGCAGGGGCCAAGTGCCTCAACCACTTGCACCACGGCGGATATGCCGGGGTAGGGAGCGGAATCCGGATTCAGGGGAGGACGACGCGAGGCAGAATTCAAACGACGCGTCGTGCACGTGATCGTGGCTGGGCGGTCGCTGACGTGATGTTCTCGCGCTTTCCCGCGACGACGACCGCAGACGGCAATCCGCTCGCGCTTTCGACCCGGCCACAAGCATAGTCATCCCCGTCCCGATGAGTCAAACTGAAGCGGCGACGCGCGTCGGGCGACGCGTCCTCCTTGCTTTACAAGGATGGCCTATAAAGTGACGAGGACGGAATGCGGCGCCGACCATCCCTCTCTTTCTCGACAACCACCACTCTCAACTGGCTCCCATGTTCGCCTTCACCCACATCCCCGCTGGCTACGCTCACGGCCACCCCGCACGCCGTTACCGCGACTACTCGGATGACAACTCTGAGTTCAATGAGCTCGCACAGCAGGCGGCGGAGCAGTACGCGGCAGCCCAGGCGCGCGTCCAGGAGATCCAACGCCAACGCCAGGCTCAAGCTGTGAGGGAGCAAGCCCACCACTGTCGCCGCGGCTATTCATTCATGACTCCCCGGCAGTTCGGCTTCGAAGAGCCTCCTTCCTACTATCCTCCCCATCCCCACTTCGCACGAAGCGCCCCTGTGAGCGCACCGAGCTACGCCCTCGAAGACCTCGTCTCGGTGGTTCTGCGCGACGAAGACCGCCAGCGCAAGTACCTCGCCCACCAACGCGCCGTCGAACGCCAGCGCGCGATCGCCCTTCAACAGCAACTCGCCATTGAGCGCCAGCGTGCTCTCGCTGAACTCGCCGCTCGCCAGGAGGCTGCCCGTGCCCGCGAAGAGGCCGCTCGCGCCGCGCGCGTTCGTGAAGAGGGCGCTCGTGTCGCTCGAGCCCGAGTGGAGGCGCAGCGTCATCGCGAGCAACAAGCCATGCTCGCTATTCTTGCTCTCGCGCGCTATCTTCGCGCGGAGGGTGGGCACATCCCCTTCGCCACTCAAGTATCGGCGCCGAAGGTGTGTACACGCCACTCGGGGTTGCGCCCGCTTCCGTCGCTGATGCGTGTCCCCCTTGTTCAGCCCGAGGAAGCTGTCACTTCGCGGTCGCTCAACATCCCGGGGGTCCCCGTTGACCGCAAGGGGAAGGGCAAAGTCAACCACTTTGACGTCGATATCGACGTCGCACCGCCGGTCGCACCCAAGCCAGTCTCCTCCCATGAGACTCCAAAGACCGCGCCAAGGACGCTCAAGGAGGACCTCGAGGCCCGAATCCGCGCCGAAACGGATCCGGAGGTCCTGGAGTCCCTCGTCATTCTCTACTCCGACATCTTCGACAACGTCGCTGCTGCCCCTGCTCCTGTCGCGGGTCCGTCTGGTCTCAGTGCCGACGAGAAGCCAGCCTCGTCCACCCCAGAGTCCTCTCCTTCCACCCCGGTCCCAGAAGCCCTCACCGAGATCACTGCCGTCGAGGACGCCCTTCGCGCTCTGCAAGATGCCTTCTCCTTCCCTGATCACCTCGAATTCTCTCCCTCGCGCTCGCGCTCTCCTTCCCCCACTCCCTCGAACGCGGACGGGCTGGCGTACACGGTGCACAACAGCCCGGTGCGCGCGTACGAGCACGCGCTTATCGCGCTCCTCACCCGGCTCGACGCTGTGGAGAGCAACGGGGACGAGTCGGTGCGGGCGCGCCGGAAGGAGGTCGTGCGGGAGGTGGAGCGCGCGCTTGACGCGGTCGAGAAGCGCGTCGAGGCCGAGCGGGAGCGCAGTCGGAGTCGCGGGAGCTCGCGGCGCGGCAGCGTGACTGGGTCGGAGGTCACTGTGCGCCCTGCCGTACCCGCGCCTGAGGTCGTCCCTGAGGAAGATGCCATTGCGGCGGAAGACTCTGCTATGGCAGTCGCTGAGGAGGCTCCGAAGGAGGACGAGCCGGAGCGACGGGGTGGTCTGTCGTACTCCGCAGTCACCATTCGTCCTTCTGTTGTTCCCGCCGTCGCCCTGGAGGTCGTTGCCAAGGATGTTGAAGACCGTGTGGTGGTCCCAGAATCTTCGTCTGGAGCACCGTCTCTTTTCTCCGAGTCGTCTGACTCCGGCCTCCTATCCCATGCGGATGATGCGAGCACCCAGACGCCGGTCGTTGACTCAGTGGACGAACAGGAAGACCCTTCGACCTCGGTCGTTGACTCAGTGGACGAACAGGAAGACCCTTCGACCTCGGTCCCAGATGTTCCCGTCGACGGTCAAGCTCTGGAGGATATCAGCACCTCAGAGGCTATAAAGGATGTCGAGCCCGACCACACCACTAGCACTTCTGAAGACGCACTGGACCCTTCCCTTGCCTCCTACAGCGTCGACCCTAGTCCTACCGCCACCACTGCTCCCGTCGAGGCCGCTCTCTCAACAAGGCTCCACGCTCTAGAACCCATCTCACGGGATGCGTCAGCCTCATCTCATCTCATCGATCCGACCGCCGGTTCCGAGAACACTACCAATCTCGAAGACGCTACAGCGGCGTCGCCGTCTAGCACTCACACCAACCCCTTCCTACTATCGTCCACACCTATTGCAGATCCCGATGTGTCGAAGCGCCGACCCTCTGCGGGCTCGGACGAGCTGGAGATCATCGACAAGGACGAGCTCGAGGGTGGGGCCCATGTTGGAAGCGATTGGTCGGATCTCGAGTCGTCCGACTCCGATGGACCCGACCTGTGAGTCGGAGATCTTCACGTTCATCGGTCACTGTTTTGAAGTCTCTCATCTATCTCTGTGTACTGTACTTGTATATGTGTAACCGACGGAGTGTACATTGACTGTAGGATTCTAATTTCATGAAGTTGACAATAACTTTTGTATGTACTATCGACGTGTGTACCGCGACCTTGCGCATCCTCGGCCAGCCCCTCTGTCTCCGAATGTGCAAGATGGGTCGTATTTGCTTTTCATTCTTCGCGCAGGTGTCAGATGACACTAAATTAAGTTCACGGCGTTCGATTATTTTTTGCTCTGCGTCAGGCGAGACTATCAGTGATCATGCATGACCTGGCGCTGTGGGCTGGGAGACAGAAGGCAGCGCGTGAACGCGCAATGGAGCATATAAAGGGGCGTGGATACTCTGCGAGACGCGACAGCCCTGCTCCCCACAATCGCTCGTTATCCCGCTTTGACCACGATGACGACAGAATGGGAGAAGTACGGATTCGCGCCGGTCGTGCGTGACCCCGACCTGCTCTTCAAGAACCACCCCACCGCGTCCGGCCCGAACCCCAAGCAAGACCTCTTCATCGCGGACGACTTCCCGCTGCCGGACACGCCCCTCGTCAAGGAGGTCCTCGCGTTCGCCAAGGTCCGCCCGTCTCCTCTCCCGCTTCTCGCCTCCACACGTCCTACTGACCCCGATCTCCCGAACCCAACAGAAGGAGCTCGACGAGCAGACGTTCAACCACAGCAACCGCGTCTTCGTCTACGGCTCCGCGCTCGTCCGGACGCACTTCCCCGGGTGGGGGTACACCGAGTGCGCGAGCGCGGTGGAGACGTACGCGCTCTGCTGCCTGCTGCACGACATCGGGACCGCGGAGCGCTTCCTGGCGACGACGCACATGTCGTTCGAGTTCAAGGGCGCGATCGTCGCGCGCGACCTCATCCTGCAGCTGGGCGGGCCCGAGGCGGAGGCGGACAGCGTGTGCGACGCGATCATCCGGCACCAGGACATATTCGTGAAGGGGTGAGTGCGGCGTACTGGTGTGCGGAGGGGGGAGTACGTGCTGACGGGGAGTGCACTCCGCGTGCTCGCGCGCGGGTGCGGCTTGCAGAGGGAACATCACGATGGTGGGCCAGATCTTGCAGCTCGCGACGATCCTCGGTGCGTCTCTTTGCCCGCCGCTGACGATGGCACGCTGATGTGTCGCCTCTAGACAACGTTGGAATGTGAGTGCTTGCTCACTTCGAGGCGGGGGCGGGCCCCGAGCGGGCAGTTTGCAACCCAGGTACTCACTTGGGTCCCGGACCATCCCTCCACAGCCGCGCGAA